GAGGAAGAAGACGACGAGGAAGAAGAGGAAGAAGAAGAAGAAGAAGGAGAAAAAGAAGAAGAGGAAGACGAAGAAGAAGAAGAAGAAGAAGAAGAAGAAGAAGAAGACGAGGAGGAAGACGACGACGAGGAAGAAGACGACAACGACGACGACGACGACGACGACGACGAAGAAGAAGAAGAAGAAGAAGAAGAAGAAGAAGAAGAAGAAGAAGAAGAAGAAGAAGAAGAAAAAGAAGAAGAAAAAGCTTACCTTCGTGGAGATGGCTCGCGGCAGCACTCGAGGGAGTCGGCGGGAAGGCAGCAGGAGGACGACGACGGCGCGGCAGCAGGACGACAACGGCTCGCCAGCAGGACAATGGCGACGGTGCAGGACGATGATGAGCTCGGCGAAGGGCGGGACGGTGGAGGGCGGAGGCCGAAGTGGGCAACGGGGGGGGCAGATCGGCCCAGGATTCGAATTCGAATCCTGGAAGCTACGTACGGCGATCGACGGCCAAAAATGATTGAAAAAAAAAAACTTTGGAAAGGGGCCTACCGGGTCCCGAAAAATTGAAGTTTCGGCGCGAAAAAAATTTTGGCCCTGCAGGCCAACGGGCGGCGGCGCAAATTTTTTTTTTTGACGCCGTTTTCGGTACGGTGCTGAGGGGGTCCGGGTGCCTGGCCGGGGGGGTTGCACGGCCGAGCGCCCCGAGCGCCATTCCGGGCGGGCTTGGGCGCCCCAGGCACCTGAGGGAGGAACACTTCTCAAGGATTATGACGCGATCACTCTGCAGAACACTTGCCTTGAGGAGGGGGTTCAGTATAGAGGTAAGATTGATGCGATATTTGACTTGGCGGAGCACAGGGCTTACATCGCCTATGGTTCCGATTATCGAAAAAAAATGTGAAAACACCACAAGGACATTTCCTTGTGGCGTCCTTGTGGCCACAGCCAATTCTTCCTTAGCCCCAAGGGACCTCCCGAGGTCCCTCGGAGCACAAGGAAGCGCGAATTCCGGAGCGATGAAGGCATGCGTCGACGCGAATTTTCTTTTGGAGGGTGGTCCAAACGCGGTCCGCCGACCGGGAACACGGACATCCCAGCCCCCCACCGTGTGGCTAGCCCCCCCGACGGCTCCAAACGGTCACGGTCCCCGTGAGACCGCCGTCCAACGGGTTCGACGTCGCCCGCCGGTGGAGTGTGGTCTGCTGCGCTGGGAGAACGTCGTCAACGGTCGGAAATTCGAATGTTTATCAGCGCCGGCACGACGAATAGACGACGACTGTTGTTTTTTCTTGCATGTCGTAGTTTCCATCGCTTGTCGTCACTCCGTGCGTGTGTGTGGTCTTGCAGCAAGCCTCTTTTTTCTTCTGTCGACGGCGTTCTTCACAGGGTGGTGCACCACTGCCGTGGAGTGCATGCCCTTTCTGTCCACCCCCCACCTCCCCCCCTACACCGGCTGCCCCTGCTACTCCTCGTCGTTGTGCTGCTTGTCATCGTTGTCGTCTTCCAAGTCTGTTTTCTCGGGCGGCTCCCTGTTCCCACCAGGAAGGAGAGGTCTTCGAGGAAAGGTGAGAGGATGGATCGATGACTGACCAACGGCAGGGCCGCTGGCACGTCAAGAGGGGCAAGCAATCGCCAAAGCAGTGCAGGGTGTGTGGCGAAGCAAGCATACGACCCGACGTTGTATGCTCACCTGCCTTCGCATGAGATTCCTCTACCGCCGTCGGATGACGAGGGGGAAGAGCTGAGGTCGACGACTGTGCCGTTGGGAAGTGGCTCCACGCAGCATTGGGCGGCAACGCAGTCGTACGGTGCCAGGCGAGCGGAGGCGACCAGGTCTTACACGTCACTGCTAAACGACGGCCTGTGTGAAGATGAAGGCAATGCACCGGTCGATCTTAGCTTCCGGTTGTCGAGCAGCAGTGGAGCAGCGGCGACACACACTCGAATCGTCGATCCCTACCCAGATGGAGGTTGGGCGGAGCAGTCGTCGGCAGCTCCCTGCGGGCGTGGAGACGACGGCCTCTCGCAAGCATCCGGGGGCGGCGGGAATAGAAATGTGGCGTCGACGCAGGGCGGAGGACGAGGCGATGTCCGCCAGCGGCCGGATTGGATGCGACTGTCACCTGCCTCACGAAGCGGTCCAGGGACTCCACCCGGACGGCAACGAGAGGACGACGGTTCCGCGTCTGGTGCGCAAGTGGAGCGGCACGGTAGGCAGTCGTGGGCGGATGCGAGGCAGGCGTTGCGTCAAGCAGGAGCGGACACCATAACGAGAGGGGTGCAAGAGCTCCACGTGGACGAAGGCGGCGAAGCGGCTGCTGAGGAACCATTCAACTGCGACGACGTTGATGATGAAGAAGACTGCAACTCCGACGAATTGCCTGATGTTCGTCCTCTTGGGAGGAAGGTTTGGGGCGGCGGTGCGAGTGCGAAGAAAGGTTCCACTACGTCAAATCGGAGGAATAAGAGGAGGGATGACGACACTGGCGGGAGCGATGGCGAGGGCGGTCGCAATTTCTGGCCGGTAGGAGACACGGTTACACTCGTCCGGGCGAAAAGGGATCAAGACCTGTATTTTGCGGGCATGGGCCACAATTTCGGGTGCATGAAGACTAGGGAATGGAGGTGGGAGGACGTCCGACAAAGGTTGGTAAAGTTGGGCGTCCAACGGAAGGCCGTCGACTGCGGCAAACTGATGCAGCAGTTCAAGAAGGTTCACAAGTACCAAAACCTCTCCGGCGGGAAGGACTATTTCAAGCTTGCTTCTTCGGCGAGGAGATCGGAGGGTTTCAGCTTCGTCATGGACCGGAGCGTTTTCGACGAGATGGAGGCGATGACGAAGGGGGATCACACTATCCACCCGAAGAATTTGGCGGACACGGGGGCGCCGGGGGGGGTGCAGATGCCGGCAGGAATGAGGGCTGTGGGGGATGACATCGGCAGTGAGGGGGGAGGGGAGCCCGTCGATGAAGTCCAGGGATCGATGAAAGATTCTAGATTCAGCGCCGGGAGCGGCGTCGCAACGGGGAAGAGGAAGAATATGAGACAACAATCGTTTGAGGTAGTCACCGACGTGATGAAGGAGCATGGAACGCTTATGACGACGACGATGGACAATGCGAGCAAGCGACAGTGCTCCATGATGTTACGACAGTGCCAGGTCCTTGAGAGCGAACTGGAGCTGCAAAGGGGACATTATGCTGCAGCCGATGCGGCGAACACGATGATGTGTAACGCCCTTCTGGAGATAGCGAAAGCAATCCGCGATAGATCGTGAGGAGTGTGGTGTCTAGCTAGACGTCCCCCGTCTAGTTTCTGTCGTCGTGCGTGCGTGTGTGTGTGTGACTGCGTGTCCACACGGCTGCAAAGCATTGCAGTTGTAAAAATTTTGTTGCTTTTTCGTGTTCGACGACTGTGCATCGTCTCTGTTTTCGCTGCTCGAAGAACTGAGAGCCACGTGTGAAATGAGTACAGCCGCGTCTGAAATGGGTAATGCGGTCCGGGGGTTGTGGACAGTGGGGTCGTCTCGCTGGCTGGGGAAAAGTTGTTGGTGGGCACAAGTGGGGGGGTGGGGGTGGGGGGGGGGGGGGGGGGGTGGTATTTTGACCTGCTGGGGGGAGTATGGGTCAGCGACGGCTCCCGATGATGGGGCGGCCATGGGTGAAGGTTGTTTTTTTTTTTTGGTTTTTCCGCTCCCTCGCGAGTGAATCACACCGTCGAAGGTGTCGTCTCCCGGCCTAGAGAAGCGACGTGGTGGGCGGTCAATATGGGCTAGTGCAACGCTTGTCGACCCGCATAAATGTCGCCCGCCTGTGCAGTAACCAGTGCAGATGCCCGCCGCGCGAAGTTGAAGAAGCCTTTGGCACCTCGCCGCGGATTATCATCGCATGCTCCCAGCGGACATCTTCGGCGCCTTTGACTACCACCATCATCGCTCTTCTACTCTTCTCGCCGCGTGGACATCAGTGACGTGGTGATCAGCCTTCTCGACGCGTGGTCTACTATTCTTCTCGCCAGGCGCACGACGGTTTTCTTCTCAGCGTGGAGCACTGTTGCCGGGCTCCTGGTCCTACTTCAGCGTCGTCGGCGAGACTTCATTCGACGATCGACGAGTCACTTCCAGCAAATCCGATCGGTCCGCCAACGTCACTTCCAGCCGTCTCCGCCACGTCATCATGTCTACGCGAGGGAACACCCTTGGCAAGAAACGCGACGCGCTTCCTGAAGACGGCGAAGGGCGGTTGAAGAAGGGGCGGCATGTCCCCAAGGGGAAGAGGCTGCGTCCGGAGGAAGCTTCAGGAAGCGCTCCAAGCCGGATCGCGCAAGGTTGGGTGGCAGCAGCCCAACGGGACGATGACGACGAGTATGCATCCGGGGAAGAACGTGCCGAGGGAACGACGTCTGCAGTGCGGGAGAGTGGTCGGCAACGGTCGTCCGATCATAGCACTTCGAAGGGGATGACCACCCCGCCGCCCGACGCCCTGCGAGTGCAAGGCCGCGACACGCGGACAGAGAAGGTCCCTGTCGTTGATGTGGTCGATCCGTCGGATGACGAACCGTTGGAGAAACGTCGCCTGCGCACGGCGGCTGCAAGCACCCCAGGCACGCCGACTCTGCCACGTCAGCCTCGTCCGGACGATGAAGGAGGGTCCGCCCAACGCGTCGCCGCTCATGCAGTCGTCGCCGCCCGGGGTGCAGCGGGGGCGGAGGCAGAAGGTGCTGCTGGGGGGGCCACGCCTAGCGAGAAGAATCCTGGTCGGGAGGGTGATGACCCCTCTTCAAGTCGTCATCGTCAGGGAGTGATGACGAAGGATCTTTTGGAGCGTGCCCTGCTGTGGGTTGACGACACAGCCTTCTGGACGACGGGGGAGGGGAGAAGACTGTACAACATCGTCCATGAATCTCGCGAGTATTTCGTGGCCATCGCCAGTGTGCTACCAGCGCCTACCGTCCCTCGGAGCGCCGTCATGCCGAAATCAAGCGCGAAGGTGGCGCGGATCTCCGACCAGTCACAACTGCAGCAAGCCACGAAACGCGCGACGACTTTCGAGAACGTTGTTATGCGCATCTTGCACGGCTGGGTGTTCAAGTCCGGAAACCGCCCGAGGGGTTACCATCTCGCCTTCCAGTACACGCTGGAATCCTTCGCCACGGACCTTGCGCGTGTTATGTGGTGCGGCGAGGAGTGGAGTAACGCCATCAGCGCCGCGGTTTGCGCGCACACGATAGACTTGGGCATGGACTTGTCGCTGTGGTTCGTCGGTGCGAGCGTTGAGGATAGGCCTGACAACGACGACATGGCGGCGTACCAGGAGTCCACTATCATATGCATCGCGCATGCATTCCGCGCGGCGATCCAGATGGGTGCTACCATCGACGGAGGTTTCATCTCGTACGAGCGTCTTTGTCGGGTGTCCGATTGTTTCAAGCTGCTGCTGGCGGCGAGCATGTGGTTGATGCGCATGGCAGGAGACGATCAGCGCAGCCACTACGAAGCTTTCTACTTCGCAAAGCTAGTGGCTAAGTCCACGCTTGTCGCGTCCATGCATCGCGCCTTCGAGCATCGCAAGAAGGTCCTCCACGCCGTGAACGTCGTGACGGAAAGGCTCGGGAAGGCGAACGCCACCCTTGGCGAGTATCCAAAGTACATCCCAGATTGGACGGACTGCGGCATCAGTTTCGGCCACGACGCTTCCATAACAGGGCCGGACGAAGCGAAGAAGTTAGACTGGTTGGGTTCCGGCCCCCCCGACGACGACGACGGCGAAGCTGATGGGAAGAAGGAGACATAGGGGCGGGTTGGGGGGGTTGGGGTGGTTGACATCCACGGTCGATTGGGTTGGTGATATACACTGGCGGCGGATGATGCTTGACGGCGCTTGTACACGTGGCCTCAGTGATGTCATTGTCCGCGCTTGGAGGCRAGGCGCAGTGTGTTGGTGATTTGTCTGTCCTTCRGTCGGATTCGCCASGGTCGACCCGTCGGTGTGCAGACGTGTAGTTTGTTGGTCAGTGTAGTGGATGACGGGTTGTACGATTCCCGTCCATGCATCGTGTTATATGTGTAGCTGTGAGTCCTTTGTTGGACGTCGGTGGGGMGGGTAATTGATTACCACGCCGTATTCAGTTTTTTTTTCAAAATGCATGTTTCGTTCGGTTCAACTTCTTCGCGCTTTCAGCTTTCTTTCGTTTTTTTCTTTATCCTAATTGATTGTTTGTYTGTTTCTGCTCCGATGGGTGTTTGATGATTGCGTTCAATGCATTCACATGTTATCAGTTTTTCTTTTTTGGTTTATTTGTATTCAATGTGAACTTTTTTAAACGCATCGTTGGGATTGCTTTCAACGACCACATGTCATGCACACATGAAACAAGGTAGGAAGAATAGCCACACAATATCGACGACAACGCAACAGAYGGCAGCAATTGTTGTCAGCATTCGACCCCACGTCACAACCAATTCCAATGCATGCACACGTCATCACTTTTTCGACATCCATTTCGAGGATTACAGAATCTTGAGATGACAAGTACACCACAAAAAAAGGACTC